TTCAAGAATATGTTATATTCTTGAGATTTCGAAAAGTTTTATGAGCAAAGACAAAAATAAAACTTTATCTTTCTTCTAAAAATGAAGCATTCATTCATAATAGGGAAATGAGTTAGGAAAATAATTTCTTTTTGTAAAAACAAATCAAAAACAAAAAAGACACCAAAGCTTGAATGACTATTGTATTGTATATTATCATCATTTGAGTATACTAATTATGATGATTTTAATAAAAGAAAAAGAAAACAATATGCAGAGAACTTTGAACAATTTTCAATCAAACTTGAAAATTAAATAGAACCATCTCTTATAGAGATCGACAAATGTCATGATATTTCTATTAATATTATCTTAGACGATAATGCAATTATGTAATAACAAAGAAAAAAAACTGAAAATAATTAGCACTAGTTTCTTCTGACATATAAAATTTATCGGTAACACTTTTCATTTTAAATAACTATTTATAGAATAATTCTACATGAATTTAATAAAAATGATTTCCATGTGTCAAATACTCATAATCTCGAATGATTGTATAGCTAGACGTAATAAAGTCAGAAAAACAAAAGAGATATCGCCGTGAAAAATGGTCTGAAGGACATACTTTATTGTAAAATAAAGAAATCTATAGCATTCTTAATGCCACCATAATAAAGATTGTCAGTATAATGTTGAATTGAAATTGTTTTCACTTGTTTCAGAATATTCATTTTGGAAAATATATTCATTTTCTATGAGAAATATACCAGAAGTATATCACAAACAAAATAATCTACTCGTATATTGTAATCTTCAATTAATATAAAACTATATTTACATCAAACTAATCGATTCAACTCATTTTGTGTAAAAAATAAAAGTACATGTTGATCGTAAGTGTTTGGACATCGAGAAATGTGTCCCACATAAGATCAAGTATCCTTTTCTGTGGAGAAGATGTAAGAAATACATATAACATTATGAATATATGAGTTAGAATTATTATATCTTTCATTGAGATAGTCAAAGCCAAATTCATAAAAAAAATGTATGTACCGTTAATCTACGTACTAATGAAAGAGAGACATATACTATAGAACTACATAAATTAATGATTATACGATTGGTACTTTTCTCATCCACACAACAGAATTTTCTATTTTTAGAGAATTGATCGATGGTGTCAAATACTTTTTTATCAAGAGAGAGTAGTTTATTTTCATCGAGTTATTTTTGTTTCGTGAAACTTTTCATAAAAATGAAATATTCATTCAAAGATAGGAAGAATGAGTCGAACAAACTGTTCTTTTTCATTTATATTTCATAATTTCGATTGATAATCGGCCAAATTAGTTCATGTTTGTCTCGTTTCACATGAGAAGATAGAGCAAAATGAGACGAATATTTTCTTGTCTGAGGAACAATACTTGAAAACCTACTCGAGAAATACTAGAGGTTTTCAAAGTTCTCTCCAGTTGGAATGATTCGAATCACCCTAACTGATGTAATTCAGATTACTATCTCAAGGCTCTCACCATTTTTTATAAAAACTCTAGAGATAAATTTTGTTCGATGTAAGATAGTTGAACACTGGTTGAGATAAATCAATTTTATTTGAATAGTGATCTGCATGATACCAAATGGCTACATTCACTATTATAAAATCATCTCGTGTTATTATTAATTTTATTTTCATTGTTACTTTTTTTAAATGCGAAATGACAATCTCATAATGAAGATTTCTTATAGCAAAAAAAAAAAGCTATCGCTGCTCGTTTTTTTCAGCGAAGATCTAGGTGTAGTATCTGTTCTTGTCGATTTGAAAGCCAACGCTAGTTCCATTAGGTTTAGGCTCTTTCACGCGGATTTTTGGATATCGGTTGAGATCATCCTAGTTCATTCAGAGTTATGCCATGAATCGTTTCAACATTACAGTGTCATCGAATATAAAACTATTCTTTAGTTTGTTTGCTTTGAGTATGATGGAATAATCTTCTTTACCTTACAAAACTGTTCAGCACATTATCCTTCGCTATAGACTAAGAAATTAATTTGATTAATATGACTCATGAGCGAGGTGGAAAACATGTTAGATAATTATCTTCGGAATGAATCTTGTGAAAAAAGAATTTACAAAGATCTCCATTTGAACAAGTCTTTTTTCATTCAAAACGCGAACAAATGGTTTCGCATCATGTTTCACTAGATACTTCTTTTTTTGGTATACAAAACGGTTTTTTTTTCCACAAAAGCCTCTTATATTCGTCTATCCATATAAATTAGTTTATCATATTTGCAGCATTGTATCATAGATTTCTTAATAATTTGTTTGTTGAAAATTCTTAAGTTTTCATTGGAAAATATATTGTAGTCAATATAACAAAAGTGGAAGTATAGTTGACTTGAAAATCGTTGTACCGCAACAAATCATTTGAGCATGTCCGTTGTATCTTATTTTTTGCAATATTGACTACAATAAATTCTTTCCAAAATCTTTAGAATTGACAGGCAAGAAGTTAGTAAGAAAAAAAAAAGAACTTTCAGAGGACGAAAAAGAAATTATGATTTTTGTTTATCACCTAAACTGTATATCGAAACGATCCATATAACTATGATTATGATTAGAGGATAAATGTCATTGGAATTAGATAATTTGAAGATGATCCTGAAACAACTATTCACTAAGGAATCTTAATAATTATTGCTTATGTTTAATGTGAAATGATTCTGTTATCATTTGTGTAATTGAAGCAATAAATAACCATTTTCGTATTTCTTTCTTCAAATTGAACGATCGCACATGATTATCGAATTGTTTTATGTTGCGTATAGTCCGATCCGATCATTAACAAATAATATTTAACACCTTTTCTATTTTCTCAAAAAATGAAACATGTTAATTATTGTTTTTTATTTAAATGAAATCAAAACAAGATTGAAGTTACAATGAAGGAAAATAATGATAAACATCTTCAGAGAGAACTACTCAGTCTTCAACAATTAATCGTTTCACTTTGGTACAATTTTGTCGGGTTGCATTTCTTGTTAAAGTTTTTTGTTACGCTTTTCACTTGATCATATGAAACTTTGAATTCAGTTACACATGGTAAATGTGTTTTAAAGTCCTTCAGAAACTGATCAACATAACTTAAATCAACTTAAATAAGATGAGAATATTCAATAATCGAATATGAATAGTTGTCAACGAGTGGATATGTGTAAGATCTCCAAAATTGTGGGTTTAAGTAATGGAAAAGCTCGAGTAACTTGAATGAAAAATACATGTTTGAATGGAAGTTCATTCTGCAATTCCAAATGAGTTACAGACCTGAATATAATAGATGGAAGAATGTTCGTGATCTGTTTGAGACGATCAAATATAAATAGGAGTGAGAAAACATGACATACAGTCTTAAAAGTATCGAAATAGTCTAGAATACGAGCCGCCTGGTAAAGATCTGTATTTATATAAGTTCGTTGAATATTATAATTAGATATGAGATGAGTTGCCTCACCGATGTCATTCTTTGTACTAATATAAAAATTAAATGTATGAAGTCGTGGCATATGAATAAGGATTTTATTATGAAGGGTGTGGGTGGCTGTGGGTGTAGGTGTGGGTGTGGGTGGATGTGGGGGTGTGGGTGTGGGTGTGGGAGGGTGTGGGTATGGGTGTGGATGAGTGGGTATGGATGAGTGTGGGTGTGTGTGGGTTTGGAGTGTGAGTTGGTGGGTGGGTTTGGGTATGGGTGTTGATAATAAGAGTTCGCCAACACCCGCATCCCACAGGCACACTCACATCCGACACTCTCACTCACAGCCATACCTACCCACACCCACCCACACCTATATCCACACCCTCAAGTAACTCGGACTTCGTTGATTTCAATAGTTTCTAATAGCATATAAATTTTGAGAAGTTATGCCAGCTTTCATTGGTGAAAAGTTCCAGTCAATCTTTTATTCTATTTACTGGTATTGTCACAAAGTTATTATTATAATCAAATGATAATACGATGATGTTCGATATTGAAGTGATTCAAATAAATGTTATTTGCAATTACATAAACAATAGAATAAAAAAAACAATCGACTTATCAGATACTATTTGAGTTTTAGAAAGACTTAAATGTATTGAACAACAAAATGAAATAAATATAAGTAGCAATTTCATGTGTGCTTCGCAAGATTAGAAATTTAGTTAAATATTAAATGCGTTATGATGTTTGAATTTATTTGTTATGTTCAAAAGAAAATCTCAAACGATAAGTATATTTCTATTTCATTTAACAATTGACTAGATAAATGTTTCTGACTAAAATTTTGACTCGACAAGGCGAGTAGGAAATCATAAATCTGAATTATTTTATTTCATAAATTAATCTAAAAATATTTAGAAATTTTTTTATGTTTTCAAATAAATAAAAAACAAGTAAAGAATTAATGAGAGGAGCTCCAAGTATCGAACTGTTCACACGAATAATCTTACGTCTAGTTTGAATACCACGTTTATATTTATTTGATTTGAATATCATTGAATGAATAATAATATTTTGTACATAATACTTCATGACATTTAATTAATACCTGAAAATCTTCATCACTTTCTGTTTTAACATTAACAAACTAATTGTCATTTAACCTTGACAATTTAATTTACTATGCTCATATAAAGATAAAAGATCTCTTCGATCAATACCATATTTTTGTTGTTTTCAATCAAGACTTGGTACATGCTTTATTATTTGATTGACTTTTTGCGATGTAAATGATCAGCAAAATGCTAACATATATCTGAACATGTCTTTTGCCTCCCTTCAAAATCGGTCTTTTTTTGAACAAATTTTCAAACGAATTTTCAAATGATTGACTCATTATCTTGAACAAGGAAAACCCTAACCAAGCAATAATAGTAAATAAAATCTTAAATATCCATTTCAAAATCGTTGAATTCTTTATTTTCATTAACAAAAAACAAATGAGATAAACATCAATAAAAATAATTTTAAGATTTTCTTTTAGCATGATGATGTTGAGGGAACTAGTAGAGTCAAATCAATATTATTTTCTATTTCATTTTTTTTGATATCATCAACTAATTTGTTTGCCAACAAATTAGAAACCTTATGATTACGCCGTAAATGTTTTTTTAATTGATGAAGTACAATGAATCGAGGTTGACGTGGTACAGTTACTATATTTTTTCGAGTATATTCTGATGAATTAATTTGTCCACAACAAATTGGACATGGGACTTTATAAAAATGATTAATTACATTTTCATTTCCATCAAATAATTTTGTTGTGCTAGGATCTTGATCACCAACAACAGCTCGTACCAAACGTTGAGCATAAACTTTTTTTAATTGATGTTTGTGAGTGAAATGGCTATATAATTCGGATAGACGAGTTTTTCCATGCTCACAAAATTTAATAGAATGATTTGCTTCAGTAAGACCATATGCTCCATCGAATGTTAATGGACATTTACGAAGAATTCCTCTGTATGGTTTTTGTTTAGGTTCATTTTCTTCATTTACATGTTGATCCTAGAAAAAAAAAGTATAATGAATGTTTAAATATCATGCAGAATTCATTTCATTGAAAGCGAAACTAATTTAAACATATACAAAGGACAAAACATTAGGTCTTATCTTTATAATGTTGACTTTAATGAAAAACATAACAATATCGAGAAGGATGAGGAATGATATTCTTTCTAATTTCATATAGAATTTGACTGAAAATAGGACTTTGCTATGAGACGAAATTTAGTTATGAAAATATTTGAATTCGAAAACTTTCTAATTTTTGTGTACAACACTAATTTCAATAGTTAATTCGTGTTCTTATTAAATATCTTGAAGTGTAAATCTATGAGATACGAATATTTCACACATTCGAAAAGCAGCGAATTGTTCTCTGAGAACTTTATTGATTCAGAAATATGCTGTTTTAAATAACTTGCACTGAATATACTGCATTTTTTTATTTACTGCTGATATTATAATTTAAATAGAAAAGTTTTGAATCAGGTTTCTTCAAATACCAAAAAGCTTAGACAAGTTCGGATAGATAGAATATATGAACGACTATTCCGAGTACAAAGTTGTAAGAAGAAACAAACGCAACTATTCCAATTTGCAGAAAATCTCGTTTTTCTGCAGTAATAAAGAAAAAACAATGTTGAAACTCATCAAAATTCGATCTGTCGAATCGGACCTTCTCAAGACTCGATTTCAAGTTTATATAATGATGTTATTTAGAACTTGTTTATCATTGTTTCTTTTTAACAAGATTTGATATATTTCAATTCAAAAACTGACTTCATCTATATAATTATTTTTACCTCAATTGAATTTGTTGTTTCGCTAAAAGAAAGAAAAATATGCAGTCGATTTTGAATCTTTTCTAATAAAAAAGAAACTTACTACATTGATATAGTATCAATAGAATCATGATTGATATCTGTTGAATATTCATCATCTTAAACCAATCATGTTTATTTTTTCTTTTAAAGTTAAAGAAAATTTCGACTTACTTTTTGAGATTCCCAATTCTTCTGTTACATCTAAACATACAAAAAACTTATTTATTATTCTACAAGTGAACTATATGACTCGCTCAGAGTAAAATTTATTCAAAAATAAATTAACCGTATTTTGTTTATTAATCTATTTAACAATAAACTGAATATCTACAGCGAGAAAATGCTCATTCATTGAGATATTAAATTTGTAATAAATAACCATTGGCTAAAATTTACTTGAAAATACAATATCTCGATAAATGAACATTTTTTTTTTACAGCTGAAACTTTCCGAATATTCTAAGAGTCATCAAACTTATGTCTATGAATACTTGTAGATTGACAATTTGGTAGAAAAGTCATGGCTTAGTTCATTAACTATAACTACTTTTTACTAAGGGTTCGAACGAAACAAACAAAAAAAAATATTTTAGAAAGAAATTTCATTTTACCATTTAAATTTATGTTTTCCTTATTACATTGGCAAACACAAGAACAATATTTAGTTTCTGATAATAACGGTTCGACTTTCATTGTGATTTCTTCTTTAACAAAAAAAAGAAAAGAAAAATATACAAAAAAAAAATCTGATTATCTAATTTAGTTTTTACCTGAACGATTTGATGCTATTGTTTGATTAATTTTTTCAATAATATTTTTTAGTTCATTCATTGAACTGCTGGGTTCGTCAAAAACTTTTTTTGCTTGTTCAACTAAATTTTGTTCACGTTCAATAATTAGTTTCAGTGTATATACAACTGTATTTAATTCATTACGAAGATTATCTAATCGTTGTTTATTTTCTTTTACTATTTCAATATGTTTACTCAAATGATAAAAACAAACAAGACGTAAACAACAATGACATGCATATAATTCTTTGATTTCATTATCACATGTTATATCGGTACATGAACCTTTTTCGGGCATTTCTGAAAAAGCAAAATAAACAATCTGCAGTATTATTTGATATATAGTGCTTATCACGATCAACGAAATGACTAATAAACACATAAATAGAAAAGAAAAAGAATGTAGGACATAATAATATCATTCTTCGTTTTATCGAATAAAATAGTTTGCCTACTAATCGATGATTCATCGTATGATTTTCACAACAAAATTCACTAATAAAAGTAAACACTAAAAGAAATGATTGTAAAAATTTTATTGTAACTATAATCTTTTAAAAAATGGATTTTCACATTTTAGGAAAAGGTTATTATGAACAGTTAAAGAAATAAAGATTTCAATGTATTCAAGAGATATTTCATGATTCAGTCAAGAAATCATGTTATATAAATTGTGTTAGCCTACATAATAGATATAGAAGTACACTCAGAGAATTCTAATATAAAATATCATGCTGTTCTTTGAATTCACAGCGTATGATTTTTTTGTAGTTGATTCTTTCATATATTGATGGAAGAAAAACAAAAAAAAAATCGAAAATCAGAAATCTCGAAGTGTAAGAGCATCACAAAATTCAAAATATAGAAAATGTTGAATAAGGAATGAGATTGTTAAAAAGTTTTCAATATTGCATTTGCTATCAATTTGCTTTGTTAAATGGATATATATTTTTTAATTCTTTTCTTTATCCTGAATACAAAAATAAAATAGATGAAAAATTTATTATATTTTCAATTCAAATGTACGATGACAGAATTTTGAAGTAGACATAAAATAATGAATTTATGTTTGATTTTTTACATCTTTTGTGACCAAGAAAAACAGTTCTTGGAAATATTCTGGAATATCGATTTCTGCATTGTATAGCATGTATTCAAAGGCTCCAGTTAAATATATATAAAATCCCAAACACAGATATTTTCAATCTCATTTTCTCGGTCTAAATCTATGATAAGGATAAGCTTTAAAAGATGAAGAAGCGGTTTATAGAAATTGACATTCGTGAAAAATACCTTTGATCAAGTGAAAAAAAATCAGTGCATGATTGGATTTCACTATTATCTACAAAAGATTCAGAGGTTGTTGACGAGAAAAGTTCCGTAACGTAGGGTTTATACATTGTAAGCGTTTATTTCAACTAACAGGTATATGTTCTCGATACAAGTACTTACATTATGAGCCTAAATGCTGAAAAAGTTTTGAAATTTAATTCAAACATCATCTGTTCATCCTTCCCTCATACGTTTTCTCCGTTTTATTTCTATCGCTGCTCCACAAACATAATATCAAAGAATTCGAAAAGATGAACGTAACTAGCTTATAAACTGAGTTCATATATGATCAGATAAAGCTTAACATTCATATTTCAAAATGTAGCTTATACTAAACAGGTGATCTCGGCTGTGGAAACCAAATATGGAAGATAGTAGAACAATCCATGAGTTAGTATAGTCTTATTTTTACTTCTTTTACCATACGATTGACGAGCATTATAATGTAACATTCAAATGAAGGTATGAGTTTGAGCAATCGGTAATGGTGTGCGGATGGGGATCCATATCTCATTCACTCACACCCATGAATCATAGAATGCTTTGAATGATGTAAATTCTTATAATTGATAATGAAAAAGAAGTATTCCGAATAATGTCAATACTTCTTGATGTTCCATGCACCACACCATCCTTTAAGCTCAAGGAATTTCTGTATGCATAATGAAAAATAATCTTATCACAAGTTCTACTCATTCTATAAAATAGTAAATCTCGTATAATCGTCTGCACAAAACAGTGCACATGTTCGCTAACATTTCGTTTACTTTCAATTGATCGAAAAGAATAAGTCAACTTTGTCCAAAACCGATCGTTTTTCAGTATTTCGAATTTTTTCTAATACTCTGAAAATTCCTATAACAAGATGCAGAACTCTTTGCAGCATATTTCAAAATTTTATGAGATCTATTTCTAAATAGTTTTTATCATTTTTTCGCACTTTTACAGTAGAAAAGATGTTAATCTTCTAACTTTTCTCTGACCTAAAAAATCTATTCGAAAAACAAATTTGATTGATACTCAAAAAAATTAATTTTTCCATCTATTAACATAAAAATTAAAATTCCATTATTTTTCACAATCATTAGATTTTAACAATTTTTCAAAATAGTTTTAATTGAATATTTTAGTCACGGAAATATTTCATTTTAGCGGCATATTCTGTATCTCTGCTCTAAAGTATGCATGAAATACTATACTGGACAATGTTTTTTGGACAACCTTTTAAATAGAGTTATCTTTTTTTTTTCCACAATTTTCCAAAAAAGAACTGAAACCATATGAATAGAAAGAGCAAAACACGAGCTACATTTTCATGGTAAAAACTTTCTAAAAGCCAAAATGTTTCTGAATTGAAATGCTTATTTTACGGCAATGTTCATTGTAAACTCTTTATCATTTTTATATAATATGATTAATTTTTCTTTCCAAATATTATATTCGAAAGACCGTCAGACAATGCAAATTTGATTGACAATGACTTCTCAAAACCAAACAAAATTTTTCATCAAACTTTAGATAATTTGCATTTGATGCTCTTTCGAATATGATATTTGGAAAGAAAAATTAATCATACTATATAAAAATGTTAAAGAGTTTATAATGAACATTGTCGTAAAATAAGCATTTCAATTCAGAAACATTTGACTTTTAGAAAGTTTTTACCATCAAAATGTAGCCCTAAGAATGTGACTACTTCACATCATTGTTATATCTCAATATTCAGGGGTGAAATTTTCTGTAGATATAGTATAAATACTGGCTATACTTTTGATGCAAGTCGCACCCTAAAAATCAAATCTATAAGAAAATTATACATAAAACAAAATCATCCAAAAAAAATATTGTCCAGTATAGTATATATATAACATACTGGTCTTTTTCATATTTTATTTCAATAATCATTTAAAATGATCAATGGGAAATAGTCTTTTACAAATTTAGTAATTTTATATTGACCAATAAAATGTAAATAATACAGTTTAGCACAATTTATTCGTGTTGCATGTCTTGTAAAATTTTCTGTAATTCTCTCCTGTGCTTCATAATTAACACAAAGATGGATATTATTCGACGAACATATTTCTGTATTAATTAGAAATTGCTCGACATAATCATATTGAGCTTGATAATGATGAGGATATTCAATAATTGATAAATCTTGAGTATGGACATTCTTTGATTTTTCTGTATAATTTATTCTTTTACGGTTAATCATTCATTACAGTTAAGTTTTTCATACTTGGAAATGATTGAGCAATTTGAACAAAAAATTCATATTCAAATGGAGGATCATCATATAATGTTACTCTGACAACATATATAACTAATTCGTCAGGAAAATGATTTGTGACATTATCATAAAATTTCATTCTATATAGATAAGAATAAATATAACAGTAACCACATTTTCTTTTTTCAAAATAATCAATATAAGAAATAATTTGATTTTTTTTTAAATCTTTAAATATCTTCATTAGAAGGAAAAAAATAAACGAATATCAAATGTAAATTTATTTAAGCACGGCACGGTATATAATTAATTATATTTTCTTTTAACAAATTTCCATCTCAATAAATTCTTCATTAAGAAAGACATCATTAAGTTGTAAATCAAGTTTTTCTAAGTTCAACATTCGATGTAATAATGGTATGGTATAATTATATTATCATAATTATGTGCACGCATACCACAATACAACAAAAAACATCTTGGATTAAGTAATTTTTCCTAGACAAATTTATTTCGATAGATTTTATATTAACCAAAAATAATTGACTTTATTATTGATTGTTAAAGTGGTAGAATAAATGCGAGTAATATCAACATAAAATGTATGAAGTCGATTAAAACGTCCATCAAGTAAGTATAGACAATCAATGAAATAATATACATGAAACATGTAGTTCTGAGAGATTTGAAAAAGTAAAACTTGAAGGTCACATCCCAAATTATAATTTTTCATTGGAAATCGAAAATATTCGAAAATTTAAATATTGTAAATTGATAAACATAGTAAAGATATGCGGAAATACAATTCTATTCGTACCTAGTCGTAAAATCTCTTTTTTTAATTTTTACTTATATCGATAACAAGTGATAATATTTTATCTTTGTTTACATATGTCAAGATAGAATCATCTAAATAAAAATTAAATATCTCTAGAGAAATTTAAAATTAATAGTGCAACATACAAATGTGTATGATAGATTGCTCAATTATCTACTCAACCATATTATATATGTAAAAAGAACGAATAATGTTGAATTTTTATCTATTTAGAATTAAAATAATAACTTACCAATAAAGAGAGATGTAGCATTTTCTACATCAATACCATATAAACTAAGACCATATAAATTAAGATAATTTGTAACACGAAGAATGCGTTCCATAGATGTTGTTATGTCAGGAGATGTCTCTCCTGACATAAGGAAGCTCTATCTATTCTCTTGTGATGTCATCACTGCACATCAATGGCATTCTTACTCTTCTTTCTAAATGGTACTCTCACCATGGATAAAGAAAGATAAAGAATGGAATAAGAGACAGAGATAGAATCACAATCTTTGCTGCTTTTTGTTTTTTGATTCATTCGATTGTTTGCTTTTTGAAGGAAAGGAAGAATAATAAAGAAAAAGAAGAAGAGTTCTAACAGATGTCGATTCAAGATCAAGCTATTTGAGTTTGTGATGAATTTCTGGTAAAATTTGTAAACAAAATCGATCGAGTATTAGATCAGACAAACAATAGATGCAATCGTACAAGAGAGTCATCAATGTTAAATGAGTTGTAAATATAGAATCATGTGCAATTCTATTGAATCGTTTGTTAATACCTATAAAAGAATAGTGTTTCGAAATTATACAACTTTTTAAAAACAATTGTAAGAATTTCATTCGGTAAATCATTTAATTGAATCGATAATTCTTTTATATTTTTCTACATTTTGATGTATTTGACAGATATTCTCAATGAGAATAATATGACATACTTATCCTATAGTCTGAATCAACAATGAAAACAAATAATTAAATGAAATTATCTCTCTTTCTGTCATTGTCATTCAAAATATGTGATAGAAGATGAACAATCAACTTTCAAGTTTAACATATATGTCAAATTCTAGTTACTGTCGAACAATCATCGTTTACAGATCATTTTTTCATTGATAGAACAAGAACTGTTCATGACTTGAAGATGTATCTTGGACGAAAATACTGGTACGTCAATAATGCTCAATTAATAAGTATTATAGCGGCAAAATTTTATCGGATGATAATCAAACATCTTCAAGCATTCAACATTGAAAATTATACGAAAAGATAGCTTTAACAAGTAAACATTCGATTATAAATAATCTTTAGTCATTGTTGTTTAGCGTTATAATCAGCAAGATATAAAAACTAAGAGATATGGATCCCTAAACTATTGAGAAAGTAATCGGAGAAATCTTGGATTGACCATCGGTTTTTTGATTTATCATAGTCAAAAGAATTCGTTCTCTACTCTTTTTTTTTACATTCAAACATCCCCCCCCCCCCCCCAATGTCTATTATTTGCTGGATGTACAGATATGTATTTCAAATATTTTATGAATAATATGTTTATTTTATCTTGAAAATCGTTGAATTGTGGGAGAATTTCTTTCTATTTCTCAATCTTTAAATAGTCCTCTATTGATGAAAATCTCTTCATAATCAATGAGTATTTCTGCAAATCCCTTTAGTTTATTCAAAGGGAAAAAAATCAATAACAATTCTGATTATTTCTTTGTTCGTGCTTTTTGACGAACATTTTTTTCAGGCCGAGATTGTTTTCGTTTGCTCTATAAAAAGAGAAATAATATATGAAAGAAAAATCAAATCGTACCTTTTTGGCTTTTTATGCATGAAATTCGGGTGTGGATGTGGGTGTGGGTGGGGTGTGGAGTGTGGGTGAGTGTGGGTGTGAGTGGGGTGTGGGTGTGGAGTGTGTGTGAGTGTGGGTCTGTGTCTGGGTCTGGGTTCGAATGATGGAAATACCCACACACCCACACCCACACCCTCCACTCACACCCACCACCCACACCCACACCCTCACCCACACCCACACCCCACACTCACACCCACACACCCACATCCACCCACACCCACACCCACACCCACACACCCACACTCTCCACTCACACCCACACCCACACCCACATCCATCCACACCCTCACCCACACCCTCACCCACACCCACACTCACACCCACACCCCACACCCCACCCACACTCTCGTTTTCTACGCGCTTGACGTTTTATCAATAGGAAAAGTTGGTTTAGATCGCATGCAAATGAATCATTATTTTCTATACATCTTCTATCACAAGAATGTTGGTTTCTACCTTTGTTTTTTAATAGAGATTTACCTGTTAATGAAAATAAATTTGAGTTTTTATACTCTTTACCATTTCCTTGCTTTTCTCATTTTGGCTCTTCATACCTCATCAATGTGAATTAGATATACGATTTTCATTATTTGAACGACCACAGTCAAGTCAATGTACTTCGTGATGATGACAAATATCATTCTGACAATGGAAAATACATATCGATTGTTGATAGATGGATTCATATTGTTTTGACTAAAACTAATTCACAATCTAATTATCGAATATGATTCGATGGAGAACATGTTTCCAAACTCAGACAATATTCTGAATCTGATACTAAGGGTGTGGGTGTGGGTATTTCCATCATTCGAACCCAGACCCAGATCCACACCCACATCCGAAAAGAACAAACTTATTGAAAGTGATTTTCTGATATTATTTCTTTAGATATTTAGACTTTTCTGTTTTTCATAATCATTTATAGTTTTTGTATGAGAATTCATTGTTTTCATCTTTCGAAATATTCTGATAAAATCGATCCGAACACTTTAAAACATTTCTTTGTAAAATCATCTCTTTTTTTTATCAAAGGAACATAAGCAACGTGTGTGTTATTTTGAGGAATAATTTATGAATGCCTATTTTTATTTAACCTAATATTGAGATAACAACGTTCGAAATAACATTAACTGTAGATTTTCTCCATATCTTAAGAATTCCAGCAAATTTTTTTTTTGACTCCATCAATTTGAAGTTTCTAGAATAAAACATTGTTTGTTATGGAAAACTATATGTCGAAACGACTCTTCATGTTAAGTTTGCTTCACAGTTTGTTTTTTTTTTCAGTTATCAAACTAACTGAGAATACATCATTTTCTTTCCCGATATCACCTTATCTCTCTATATGTATCTTATTAAAATGGTACCGATTCTACAATAAATGAACAGAGAGAAAAAGAATACTCTTATCATCTTCATTAACATCTCGAGTTCTATTGATTAGGATATGCTTTAGTAGGATCAATCATTAAAACAGATAAAACTCTTTTTGACGATAATAGACTTTTGTGTTAGCAGAGGATCTCTCAAAAAAATAATACCCACGGCCTAGCCGAATGAACAGTATCGATGAAACAGTTTATTTTTCATCAGATATTTTTGTAAAATTTTGGTAGAAAGTCGTAGAATTAAACAAGTTCATTTTCAATGTTTAGTCTTTAGATCTCAATAAAGACATGATAAAGTATAACATTTACTGTGCCGATTGCTTGCTTAAGATCACTAGAAATAAGAAATATTCATTATTGAACTTATAGCAGGGCAGAAGAATAGAATAAATAAAATGTAAGCTCATTGTCATTTAATCCTGAGATACAAAAAGACTTCATGATCGGAATGATTTATCATATTTTACGCTTACATGGTAATAGAATTTCATTCAGTTTTTTTTTGAGATATCTACAAATATTATAATAGGTACAGAATAGTTTATTGATATAAAGCAAAAATACGCACAACATCAATTGATTTTGAATAAGTTCTTTTCATACGTGCTTTACAATCTTCATATTATATTATATAACTGAAAAAGGGTGTGGATATGAGTGTGTATGGATGTGGGTATGGGTACGATGTTCTATGAAATCCACACCCACACTCACACCCTTTAGCCTGGACAAAACGTTAACATCATCGTAGCTAAGGAATCTAATTCAGTGGAATAAACTCATTCTCACTTCTGGACTAGACAAGATTAGTAAAGCGATCGGGTCGTCCTTCTTCTTGAAAATGAAGCAAAGAGTCAGAGTCACTTTTAATGGAAGCAACAGTGAAAGTGAACTGAAAAGTAGCAATTTTAATAGCCGCTTTTGCCTTTTTATTTTGTAGATTGATAAGGACATCACATAAACTCATCAAAGTATGTTTGCAATGTCGAAATCACCAGAAGTACAGTTTAATTAATTTATAGATAGTAATCAACTGACTCTAAATGTAAATTACTACCACAATCA